ATATATATATATATATTTTAATTACTGTAAAAAATAAACAAAATAATACAAATAAAGTATACAGCATTTATAAATTATTTTAGCATTTATGCTGTCTTTAATATATGCTATATAAAATAAAATAAATAAACGAACAAGATGTAAAAAAAAAAAAAGGAAAAAAAAGGCTGGTATAGTAATGAGAATATAATGACAATAACCCTAGAGAAAAAAGATTTGGCGGGAAAAAAAAAAAGAAATAAAATTAAATAATGAGAATTTTTGGGGAAATACTTCATTGCTTAGTTAAAGAAATAATGTCACAAAGACGTCTTAACATTACTCTTCATTTTGTTATTCTCAGTAATCTCAACATGGCAGAATATTGGCCAATATATCGATCTATCACTAGTCACAATACTGCAAAACAAAAACAATCAAAAAAACTGACAACTTGTATTATGACTGTAACTAGTATTATTCAGAAAAATTCTGAATGCTTCCTACATTATTATTTTACAGTAACATCGATAACTATAGCAATTCTAGTGTTTAAGTTACTGTATGGCTTATTTTGCTGGCCTGCAGTGTCTTCATTAAGGGCAAACTGGTGATGGTTGAAGGTTCAAACCCCACAAGAGCTGATGTACTACACAGCACTGAAACATTCATCAGCAGAGCTCTCGACCAATGAAAGAGGATCTCACCGTTGAGTTCAGGACCTCCAGAGTGAGGTTCTGCGGAGGAGCGCTCGGCACTGAAACACACAACAGATTGATTACTGAGACGACAAACACATTCAAAGACTCGGTGACGGGAGTTTATTTTTGGCTTTGCTCTGCTTTTTTCGGTCTCCTGTTCCTTCAAGTGAGCACTGGAGGATTTAAGGCATCGTAGTTACACTCCTGAGGCTGATTTAAGTCAGGAAGCATAATTAAGTTTCCCCTTATTTTACATTAAAAGTAACCTTTTTATCGCTTTTTGCTGCTTTTTTAATGTTCATGAATTTAGTTCTGCACCAAATTGATTTCAAATGCGACTTCAAAGGCAGCGATAAATTGGAAATGCAAACAAATACACTGTTATTCTGATATATGTATAATTCATCCAATTGCGACAAGCCTCTATTAAAAAAAAGCTATTTTAAACAAAAAAACTGAGTATTTTAAGCAATATTTATTTTTATGCATATTAGAGTATCACATAAAATAAATAAATACAATAGAAATAGAAATATTTTGACAGCGATAACTTGGAAAGAAATGGTGAGAGAATATATTGATATGTTGATATATTTATAATTAATCCAATGCAGACTTTTCTTATATTTTTATTTATAAAATATATATTTTTTTAGTTTAAGTTTTTATGCATATCAGAGTAACTAAAGAAATATTGTTTGAATAAAAAATATTTGATTTAAATAAATAAACTATTTAAATAAATATTTTTATTAAATACTAAATATTTTTAAATATCAAATATTTCAATTTATAATAAATTAAATTCCTTTTTAGATTAATTTTATTCTCGCTTCTGTGGAAGTGTGGGCTGTAGACAGGAGCTGTGTTCAGATAATTAATAAAATAAATCGTAATCATATTTAAATATAAATGAAACAAAAATAAATTATGTTAATCAATAAAAATGAGTAATAATAAATAAATATTATTTAAATGAACAAACACAAACATACTATATTCAGCCACCACATTGAGCATTGTAATTTCTAAAAAAAAAAAATTTTTTGTGGTCTGAGGACGAGTGTAGAAAGGAGCTGTACTCAAATAATTAATCAAATATATCTGAATCAGATCAACTGGAAACATTTTTATTTTGTGCATATCCGGCTTTACATGCATTGGTTTTCTGTGTCGTACTCAAGTAAGCCAACAGCTTTACTGAACCAATGAAAAACATTTGCCTTCCTGTATGCTAATGGTTTCGCTTTAAGTCTGAACTAAAGCGATCATGTCAGCATGTCACTTACACAAGTCTCGTGACAACACTGACACAAAAACTGAAATGGAACGGAAAATGAAGTCAGGAGGTTCAAAGTAACACGTCTAAGCGTCAGATTTCCCGAAGCTCACCGTCAGACAGCGTTCGGACCACAACATCTTCAGTGGAGACGCCGGGGCCGTGTTTGTTGTACGCCACAACCCTGAAACTGTACTCTGTAAACCTCTTGAGGCCTGTCATGGTGTAGGACAGGCCTGTGACGTCCATGTCCTGCAGAAAAAACACAAACATCAATTAACCTGCACTGTTAGAATTTGAGCTTTTTAAAGTCAACATTAAAACAGGCACAAGCTTTTGGACCACTAAATAAAACAGGCCGTTTCTGCTACTGTTTCTTTAAGACTTCTATGTTACTGACCCTTGATATGGTTGTCTAACATCTTTACAAGTGAAAACTACCAGTGTATTTCACACCGCCTTTACAAAAAGTGCTGTGGTGGTATCATACCAGGGTACTCTGATATATACTATGCTACTGAACGATTTCCATATTCATATATTATAGCATATTTACGGTAATCCAGGGTGGTATTACCATGATATGATAAGCATATATGTCAAAACAAGTGTGCCAAAAACATGTTATGTGTATTGGAGTAAATTTCCAAAAAACTTTTTAAAAAACAGGGTAATATCATAGTAAATGGACACAAAATATATGTAAAACATGGCATTATAATAATAAATGTCCAAAAAAACGGTCAAAAAACAGGATAAAATCATGGTAAATGGGCGCAAAATATGTTTTAAAAAAGGTATTACCATAGTAAAGTGCAAAACAATTTGAAAAAAAAAAAAACACATTGTATTACAAAATTAATGCAATAATTGTATAAAATGTATAAGAAACATGGTACAGTATAACCATGATATCTGTCCGAATAATTTCATGGTATTACTATGGTACAAGTAAAAAACAAATAAATAAATCAAATAAAGCAATAAGCCCCGTCAAGCCGTGGTTTACAGTGAATTTATAACAGCTAAGGGGCGTTGTTAGGTAGTACGACGCGAAATCCATCTTATTTACCCAGTAAATCAGGTTATAAAAAGATTTAAGAATGGTATTGATTTGAAATGTCAGTTTTGTAATTTGAATGATGAGACTATTTGTCACCTTTTTTTTTTTTTGAGGTCTTTTTTAAGGAGATCTCTGGAACTGACATTACTTTGGAGGACAAAAATATTGTATTTTTTATGATAAGCTTTTAGAAAATAAAAATTGTTTTGTTCTTAATTTATTATCTTAGGGAAATATCACATTCATGAATGTCGATGGGCAAAAAATACACCTAGTTTTATAAAATTTAAATTTGAGCTTTGTCAATATCTTAAATCATTGGAGGGTGTAAGGAACAGCAAAGCAAAAAAGACTATAAACTGATGCAAGGCCTTGAAATTCTATCCATTTTAAGAATTTTTGTATTAATTTTGCAGATAATAATAAGCCCCAAGAAGCCGTGGTTTACAGTGAATTTATAACAGCCCCTTAGCTGTTATAAATTCACTGTAAACCACGGCTTCATGGGGATTATTGTTTTTATAAAACGGTTATTCCATATACGTAGTAAGGTTTCACAAAATAAAACAGAGCAAATAAAGTGCAATGATATTAATAAAAACAGTATTCTTCCACCAAACAATGTAGTTCCTCAGAATCAGTTGTGGCAAAGTGGTTGCCGAGCAACAGACAAATGTTAACAAAGGTGTATGTTTGTAGAGTAATTTACAACAGCTTCGAACGTGGCTCAGCCAATCAGAATCAAGGACCGGAACTCTCCGTTTTATAATAAATAAATACAATGCAAATCCTATGATAATATCATGGTACTTCTGTGTTAGTCTGTCATTCATCAGATTAGGCCAACTCACTGAATACTGAATATCTATACATGTAAATATGCGTAGTCATACGTTAATGAGCTTATGTCTGTGATATAATAACGTTTACACTTTTTGTGTGTGTGTGTGTTTTTCCGTCTACAGCTTGATTTTGAGCTTTCATGCGTCCTCACCTGCTCCGAGTCTCGGCCCTTCTCGCTGTAGAAGAGTCTGTAGGTCTGGATCTCGGCGTTTCCAGTCATGGGTCTCTCCCAGCTCAGTGTGACCGAGGCAGTGCTGACAGAGACCACCTGCAGATTCGGAGCCGCACACGGGACCTGAACTGAGAGACGCAGAGGAGACAGAAGAACTTTTTAGGAGGAACTTCAAAAGCTACATCTCAAATCTGACTCCTGCATCAATGCAAAAACACTAAAGTTAATAATTTCGGTTGTTATAAAGTTTTAGGCACAAGAACTGAAAGTAAAGCAGAAGAAACATTTGTCTGTGCTTCAGCTTTAAGTGTTTGAACACACAAAAGGCCACTGAAGTAATTTCTTCACAGTGTCTTCCACTGCTTACAGTTCTACTTGAAGCGTCTTTTTTCTTTGGTTTGACACTTATTTTTTTCACCTTTGGAAACTTCAACAGCACGTATAGTGACAAAAGACGCCACGTTTCAGCAGGATACGTTAAATAATGACAATATCACATGGTAAAAGAAGACTATTCTGGCATCTGAATCCCGCTGAGGATATTTCGACACTTCAAACGAGCGAAATGCATTGTGGTCCACGTGTGGGATGCAAAGCAAACGGAGGAGTGTTGACCTAGAAAGAGAAAATTGTGTTGCTTTAATTCATTTTGTCCGTATAAGTCAAACTGGCTGGTTGTTAGCAAATCATCACACAAACTCTTCCACGTCGACGTCGCAATTAGCATGCATGGACATAAACTACTGCAAAAAAACAGCAAAAAATACTGCACCATCAAAGCCCCTTGGATGCACAATCCTGATCTCGCATACTATATGTCAGATATCGTACGAGCCGGGAAGCAGTTTCCTTTTTTTACTTTTGTCTCTGTATCTGCCCTATGCATGAGCCCTCCAGTAGCACGAGTCTCCTTTCGTCCCGTGAGACCAGCTCGCATTGGCTGCATCTTTCCGGACAGCTCCGACCTTACCTGCATCCCTGAGCTCTCGTCTCATTAATACTAGTCGCCTGTATCCATGAAAATCATCCTGACAGATGCTGCCAGACATCCGACAGTCACACCACCCAGATGTTTACAATTCCACACTCGTACAGCTCGGACAGAAAGAGCCTGTCTGTGAAGAAACCACAGCGCTCCCCAGATCAACAGCGTCCGGTAAGTTTGGACGCGCACAAACAGGACCAGTGTGGTCGTGAGAGAGAGAGAAACCTCAGACTTGGCCCAGTATTCAACGCTTGAAGTGTGTAGGTGTGTGTTGGCTGTTTTACCCTCCAGCTGGGTGGCCACTGTAAGGGGGGTGGAACTCTCGCCCGGGCCGTTAGCGTTGGACGCGACCACCCGAAAGGTGTACTTGGTGTCGGGGACGAGGTTCTGGATGGTGACCAGCATCTCTCCCGGTCCGCTGGTGTTCTCCACACGCTCCCTGCGAGCAAAGCAACAGCAATATGCAATCAAACTAACACAAACATGTCTGATGTATGACTTTAGGCCTGCAACATGCTAGTCAGGAACGTCAATGCAGATGTTTCTAGCTCGAATTTGTCTGCCAGAATGTGTCAACACAATTCATAACAAAACACAGGGGTGTCAGCATAAACAGCCTTCTACAAAAATCTTATGGAAATCTTACTAAACATGTTGATATGTTTATAGCTTGCTAACTACATTTGATCAGATCTGTCTAAAAATAAAACCACTTTTTTTGTCAGTTATAAAAAACACTTTTTTTATTAACATTTTGAATTAGCTTTTTTTTTATTTCAATTTTAGTTATTTTTTTAGTGATTTGACATGCATTTATTTTTGTTAATAATTTAATATAATATGAATTAAATATAATACCCTATTACTTAATATTTTTATTTTTTATTTTACTTTTTAGATTTAATAAATTTTTTTATTTCAGTTTTTTTTATATTAGTAGTCAGGGGTGTCAGCATAAACAGCCTTCTACAAAAATAGTATGACAATCTTACTAAACATGTTGATATGTTTATAGCTTGCTAAGTACATTTGATCAGATCTGTCTAAAAATAAAACCACTTTTTTTGTCAGTTATAAAAAACACTTTTTTATTAACATTTTGAATTAGCTTTTTAAAAATTTTTTTTAATTTCAATTTTAGTTATTTTTTTAGTGATTTGACATGCATTTATTTTTGTTAATAATTTAATATAATATGAATTAAATATAATACCCTATTACTTAATATTTTTATTTTTTATTTTACTTTTTAGATTTAATAAATTTTTTTATTTCAGTTTTAGTTTATATTTATTTCTAGTAAGTCATTTTAGAGCTTAAACTTAAAATTATTTCAGAAATTATGCCAAGGCAACATTTCTAATTTATTATTATTTTTTGATATTACTATTTAGATTTAATTTATTTTGTATTTCAGTTTTAGTTTTTATTTCCAGTTAGTAATTTAAGTGCTTCAGATTGATTTCAGTTAGTTTGCAAGGCAACATTTCTAATTTTCTAATATTTATATATTATTTTACTTCAGCTTTATTTCAATTAACAAAACGTTTTTAATAGTTTTAGTTGACAATAATGACCCTGGACGTCACATGGGAAATGGTAGGCAGACACATTGCATTGTGGGATGCAGTAACCTTCACACTATGATTTGGTTGCTTACTGGACATTTTGTTAAATCTAGTAGTTTATTTGTGTATTTTAAGTGTTTAATACAGAAAATCCACATTCTGTGCACAGTATACACTGTATACTCAGGGACATAAACACTGATGATTTTGCATTTTACCGAATTCTCAGATTAGTGGTCGATCAATGTGCTTTTCAATGGCCGATTCTTAAAATTTTACCTTCGATAACCCCACATCCTTAGTATGTGTAGTATACTAGTATGGTATTCTAAACATCAGCACAGTGTTACAGTTTGCATTTCCTGTTGCTGTTCCTTTAACAACCTGCAGAGGCAGCGTAAGCTGTTCTTTTAAACTACGTAAGACCATGTTAAATGATAATTTTCCAATATCAAACACACATTGGCATCTTTTAGCATCTTTAACCTGTTAGTGCCTTCCAGACTGTAGAACACAGAGTAGGTGATGTTCTCCCCGTGTGGCTCGGCAGGAAGGCGCCACGTCAGCTTGATGAATCGAGTGGACACTAGAGACGCCACGACATCACGCGGGGCGGAGGGCGTCGGGTCGTTGCGCTCGGACGGGCTGGACGCTACATGGTCAGTAGTGGCATCGGTCAGTGAAGGAAGGGCAACGTCTTGAGTACATAGAAGGGGGATTGTGATGGGAGGGGCAACAAGGGGGGTAAATTATAGATACAGAGTTCGGGAGGAGAGGGAGGGTGAGAAAAAAGGAAGAAAACAAACAAAAGAACATAAAATAATTGACGTAAATGAAAAGACAACTACAATGACTTCAAAATCAAAACCAAACAGCAAATTTACTATGAGACAGAGCAGGAGATGGAGGCTCAGCGCCAGGCTAAACATGCAGCCACGTCATGTTACGAACACTGAGGGGAAGCATTTCATTAACATTCATATTAGTAAGCACAATGTTAATTACAGTTTCACATCTGTCCCTGCAATTAAAACATATTGATGACTTCATCTGAAGTAGTTAAAAATAGCATGTTCTATAGATATATATATGAAATCTGGCGTAGATCCAAATTAGAGGAAACTCGGGCTTATCTACTGCAAAAGAATAAACAAATATATACATATATATCGCCATACAATATACTGTATATAAACATCTATCTGTCCATCCATCCATATATATTTATATTATTCAAAATATTCCTCAAAATATGTAATTCCTGGGGATGAGTCTTGCTTCAAGGTCAACAATACAAGTGTCAGTTAACATCTACAAACCTACAAACACAAAACCATTGACTTGGAACACTCTGAATCCTGTATGATTGGCCAATCAGCTCCAGGAAGAGCTACTGATTGGAAAACGATTCATGCAAAACTGAAGAGAAGTGGCTATTCACTGTACTTGTCTGCAAAAGATGTGTCAAGCTTACGATCAAACTAGGCCAGTGAACCAATGAGAAACCTTCAAGAATCAAAACCTGAGAATAGACTAGAATACACTAGAATAGAATAAAACAGAAAAGAATAGAAAATGTAATAAATGAATAGAATAAAACAGAAAATAACAGATTAAAATAGAATAAAACAGAAAAGAAAAGATTAGAATAGAAAAACATAGAAGAGTAGAATAGAACAGAACAGAATAAATGGAATAGAATAGGTTTTAATAGAATAGAATAGAATAGAATAGATTATATCAGAAAAGAATAAAACTGAAATTAACAGAACAGATTATAACAGAATAGAATAGAATAAAACAGAAAAGAATAGGTTAGGTTAGAATAAAATAAAACCAAAAAGAATAGAACAGATTAGAATAGAATACAACAAAACAGAAAAGAAAAGAATAGAATAGAATAGAAAATCAAAAAACAATAGAATATAACAGAACAGAGTAGAATAAAACAGAAAAGAATAGAATAGATCTTCAACCGGGGACCCACCAATTAACATAATTTTTTGTAAAAAAAAAATAAAAACATGGGTAAAAAAAAAAATCACAATGTCAATTTTAAATATGAGCACCCAAAATTGAGAAGCAAGAGCACTCTCAGTTGATACTACAAAGATATAATATAATTGGCAAATTATATTAATTATATTATTATATTACATTTCACGCACTCTGAATGTTCCTGTTTACAGCATGTTTTTGCAGCGGTGAGAAATTTAGCCAATCACAGACATGTTTGTTGATCTCTTGAACGTAATGGCCAATCAGAGGTTTCTAAGTTAGTAGCATATTACAGTATAAACTTAATATGTAGCTCTGCTTGACACATTTTCTATCGGGGGTCCCTGCTCCATGTCTCTATCTCTTCTCAGGGGTCCTTACCCTGAAAAACGTTGAAGACCCATGAATAGATTATAATAGAAAATAACAGATTACAACAGAAAATAACAGAATAGATAAAACAAAAAATAATAGGTTATAATAGAATAGAAAAACAAAAGAATAGAATATAAAAGAACAGAATAGAACAAAACAGAAAAGAATAGAATATAATAAAAAAAGAACAGATTATAACAGAAAAGAACAGAATAGATAAAATAAAAAACAATAGAATAAGTTATAATAGAATATAAAAAAACAAAATAATAGAATATAACATAACAGAATAGATAAAACAGAAAAGAATAGAATATGTTATGATTGAATAGAACAGAATAGGTTATAATTGAATAGAATAGAACAGAACAGAATAATAGAATAGATTAGAATAGAAAAACAGAAAATAATAGAATATAACAGAATAAAATAGATAAAACAAAAAAGAACAGAATAGGTTATAATGGAATAGGATAGGACAGAACAAAATAGAATAAAACAGAAAATAAAGTAACAGAAGAGAACAGAACAGAACAGAATAGAATGCTTTCACAGCTTGTGTCCGGGCATCACCCTCAGGTGTGAGTAACACCCCACATCAGCTGAATGAACCTGCTCGAGGGACAGTGGGGCGACTGTGTGACGGCGCGGGTGCGAGTGGGCGAGGTGTCTGCCAGCCTGCCGCGTCTGGCACACAAACGGGCATCAGAGACCAGCTGGAGATGGTGATGTGCCAAACTGGGCACTGCAGCCCACCGGACGGAGCTTCCCGCTCATATCCTGACTCAGCACGAGTACAGACAGAAAAACAACACTGACCTAAGATAAGACACCTGATGGGTAAAAATAAAACGTCTGATAATGATGTGGCATCATGGGACTTCAAGAAAGAACTGCAACGTTATCACTGTCTCCTGCTACATTCATATCTTGATTTATTTAACACCCCAACGAAAAAGCTAATCTCAAATCTCCTCGCTCTCCGTCAGGGCTTCACAGCTGGGGGGAAACGCTCACACTGCCCTTCAAAGGCAAGATCTTAAGTCAGGAAATGGCATCAAGCACAGAAGGGACCTTGGGATATTATTATTATTATTATTATTAGATATGCACCAAAAACACTATGAAATAAAACAGAAATAGAAAACTGAAGCAGACCCGAGGGTGTGGATTCAATCAGCTGAGGATCAAAAATGGATGCTGGGAAACTTTTGGGTTTGAAGTTCTGTACCTCTCATTCAGTATGCAGGGCTGAGCGCTATAGCTAAAGATTACAGCTCTATATTTCCAGCCGTTTCATGATATTTGATACAGAGCTTGATGTTTATGCATCTTCTCTGAAATGACTTAGAAAAAGCCAAAACAGATTCATAATATTTAATTAAAAGAACTAAATAAATAAAAAATTCACAGTTTCACAGACCTATTGATCACAATGAAAGACATTATGATATAATACACACACGCAATTTTATTATGACCTAATAGAGACATTTCATTTTAAATCTAAAACCCAAAATACACAGCGTCAGGACTGCAGTACATCATTCCTGAAACTCTTGTAAGGAAAAAAGGATAATAAATGAGAGGTGAGGAAGATAAAAGAGTGATGTGATAGCTGAAGGAATGACGTGTCATGTTGATATGAAAATGGCATTAAAGTGTTTCCTCTGAAGGAAATCTGCACAAAGAGGATGGCACTACAAAGGTTACAACCCAACATACTCGTCTCACATCCAGAGCCTTGATCTTCAGCTCTCCTTAATACATCAGCTTATTGAGATGAAAGCTTAGGATCATTTCAGCAGAATGTTTTCTTAGTGCGGTCTGACTTCAGCCCCAACCGTTTCTACAACCAAACCAAGTTATAGAGACAATTAATTAGTGGTGTTTACCAAGTCAAGCACCACTATTGTAATTGTTTATACTTGTAACTCAAAACTTGAGGATAAACACACAAGACAGTAAGAAACCATCTAGGAACCTACCCAGAACACCCTATCAACTACTCAGAACACCCTATCAACCACCCAGAACACCCTATCAACTACTCAGAACACCCTATCAACAATCCAGAACGCCCTATCAACTACCCAGAACACCCTATCAACCACCCAGAACACCCTATCAACTATTCAGAACACCCTATCAACCACCCAGAACACCCTATCAACTATTCAGAACACCCTATCAACCACCCAGAACACCCTATCAACTACCCAGAACAACCAGAACACCCTATCAACTACCCAGAACACCCAGAACACCCTATCAACTACCCAGAACACCCTATCAACCACCCAGAACACCCTATCAACTACCCAGAACAACCAGAACACCCTATCAACTACCCAGAACACCCAGAACACCCTATCAACTACCCAGAACACCCTATCAACTCACCCAGAACACACAAAATACCCTATCAACGACCCAGAACATGCTATCAACCACCCAGAACACACAAAATACCCTATCAACTACCCAGAACATCCTATCTCAACTACCCAGAACACGCTATCAACCACCCAGAACACCCATTCAACTACCCAAAACACCCTATCAACCACCCAGGACATCCTATCAACTACCCAGAACACCCTATCAACTCACCCAGAACACACAAAATACCCTATCAACGACCCAGAACATGCTATCAACCACCCAGAACACACAAAATACCCTATCAACTACCCAGAACATCCTATCAACTACCCAGAACACCATATCGACCACCCAAAACACCCTATCAACTACCCAGAACACCCACTCAACTACCATGAACACCCTATCAACCACCCAGCACATCCTATCAACTACAGTTATAGAGACAATTAATTAGTGGTGTTTACCAAGTCAAGCACCACTATTGTAATTGTTTATACTTGTAACTCAAAACTTGAGGATAAACACACAAGACAGTAAGAAACCATCTAGGAACCACACAGAACACCCTATCAACTTCCCAGAAAACCAATCAACTAGCCAGAACACCCTATCAATCTCCCAGAACACGCTATCAACTACCCAGAACAACCAGAACACCCTATCAACTACCCAGAACACCCTATACACCACACAGAACACCCAAAACAACCCTATCAACCACCCAGGACATCCTATCAACTACCCAGAACACCCTATCAACTCACCCAGAACACACAAAATACCCTATCAACGACCCAGAACATGCTATCAACCACCCAGAACACACAAAATACCCTATCAACTACCCAGAACATCCTATCAACTACCCAGAACACCATATCGACCACCCAAAACACCCTATCAACTACCCAGAACACCCAATCAACTACCATGAAC